TTCAGCAAGGAGACTCCCTTTGATTAGGACTCTTGTAATCTCCTATTTAAGGAGACCCCATTATTAAATGAGGATATCAAATTTCCAGTCAAGAAAGAGAGTAAAAGGAGAGTTTGGTGATCTCTTGGACAAATCACCCTCTAGGACGCCAAGATAGGTTCAGCTAGGAAGGGGAGGAACAAGGAAAAACAGGAGTTTTTCCCCGTGGACCGACCCGTGACGCGATCCTATTCCCGGGCCCATAACAATAACCCACTGTTAGGCTATCCCATCAAACATAACCCCCCACAATAAAAACCTTTTACAACAGAGCCCAAAACAACCATTCTTTAGCCATCCCTTGTCTGGCTCTGGCCAAAGCATCAACTAAACTATTTCCTGACCTAGGAATCCAATGAACCTAAGTGTCCCCTCTCAACATAAAGAAACAAGTTCCCTGATCATCTGCACTTCAGAATATCTCATGAAACATGATAGGAATAAATTTAAAGAAAACAGGCTACAGAATATCCAGACTTCTATCCCCGGTTTGCACTGTTTAAGAATATCATTATATATATATACATACATTTTACCAACTTACAGCAAATATATTTATGTTTATATGTCCAGAAACCGCAGAATCGAGGCTTTAAACTCTAAAGCTAACCTGATGTGAGAAACATCAGGCATTCAGGGTCATCAGCATGCATGATGCATCATAGACACAAGGAACGAATGAAAATTAAATTGCTTACTGACCTCTTCTTCTGGCAGTTTGACTAACCGTTCCTCCTGCTGATGCCATCTACGAACAATTACCTATTAAAGTCAAAAGACAACATTGGCAAAGTGCCAAAATCATGCAGCAGTGCAAATTCAAGGCAAGTTTCTTAATTGAAATCATCATCTCCAACATACATACTATAATACAATAACTGGGACAACTCTAGGAAAATCCTACTTTGCCTCCTATCTGTTTCAGGATCACTTGCACCTAATGCATTTCCTACTATAAGCAGCATATTAAAACTAGCCCAGAGGTTGAAATGCTTTTCTCTCCAGGTCAGCACCTCAGAATTTCAACCATCCAGGTCTACAGGTCAACCCATGATGCCATTATCATCATCTAAGCTTATCCCAACTATATGGGTTGACTACATGAATCCTGATTTGTACTTCTTTTCTGCTTAATACCATATCTGTTGAACGCCCAAGTATATCGTTGCCCATTTGACACCAAACTGGGGTTAAGGTGTTGCACATCACTTCTGGAGAAAACCGTAGCATGAGCATTAAAAGATAATTTGGAATCCATGATCATAATACTTTAGCAAAAGACATTGGAGCTATTCAGAGACTTTTCAATCAATGGCATTGTTAGAACTTGGACTGAAGTGGCACAAACAGGTTAGACACATTGAAGAAGTGAGAATGGGTCAGAAACCTCCGGCTGTGAATAAGATGAAGCTGAACTTTGATGGAAGCTCTATGGGCAATCTGGGTAAAGCAGGGCCAGCACGCATTGGGGGAGTGATAGGAAACACCAAGGAGTGGAGGTAATGATGTATTCAGGTCCAATTGGCTTGGGAGACTTGGCAAGGCTGAAATCATGGCACTCTTACAAGGAAAGAGATTAGCACTACAGCTTGGTATTAGGGAGTTGGAAATTGAAGGAGATTCACAACTATCATTCACTGGACCAAGCAAGTCAAATCACCTTGGAAATATAAACATGCTTTCAAGGAAATTGATGTCATAGCAAAGCAAATAAATTCTAGTTTCAATGGGGTGAGAAGAATTGTAAATGGGGTGGAAGATTTTCTAGATAAATTGACAGACCTCATTTGTTTTGGGAAAAATTGTAAACTCATGTGACAAGGGTGTGTTGGAAATTTCTAGAGGTGTAAAACGGGCCGGGCCAGCACGGCACAGCACGGCCCGCGCAAAGTGCGGGCCATCCCGGGCCATGCCACTCTCCCCTGGGACAACTTGGGGGATCGGCCCAGCACGGCCAACGGCCCAAGCCCATTCAGGCCCGTGCCGTGCCACGGGGCTAGGCCGTGGACTGGGCCGAAGCTATTTATTTAAAAAGGATTGAAAAAAAACTTAAAATTTTAATTTTATATGAAATTTGATGTATACAATTGCTTATATATACAATAATTAAATAAATTAGTATAATAAAATTGAAAACAATTGTTTATTTTATTAATATATTATAGGGAGAATGACTGATCAGCCCAGCTCAGAATTCTTTAACCCCACCGTACAAGGGGGATGAATCCTGACCGTGGATTGATGTCAAATCCACGGGCTGGATGCGGTTTATAGGGGGGCTACTAGTAGACTATGGGGGGCTGTAATTCAGAATTCTGCTGTGAGCTGTAGAGTACTTTTCCCTATATTACATATTATATGTTATTATATAATTATATTTTATATAATATATTATATTATTTATATGAATAATATATATGGGTCATGCCAGACTGGGCAACGGGCTGGGCCGTGCCAGAACACGGGCCGCAGACGGCACAGCCCACTCAGTCGTGCCGGGCTGCGGGCGGCACGGCCCGATTTACACCTCTAGAAATTTCCAACAATTGTACTAAGTTTTTTATAAATTTTATTAATGGCATCCTTTTGCTGATGAAAAGAAAGTTTTAAATGTCAGCTGCCAACCTGATGCAACCTTCCTTTATCTAGGCTTGGGACCACCCATGTAAGACAAGCTCAAACCAGCAGAGTTCAACCATGATGTCATTCTTATAAAAAATTCAAAAAATAATAAAACACAAGCAATCCATTGAATGGGTCAGCAGTTCAACCATTCAGGTCAACAGGTCATTGACCAAGTCAAAACTGGGATTGTGACTAGGTAACTGGTCCAACTACTCAGGTGAATGATGGGTTAAAACACTGACTGTAAGGGCTATCACCCAATGTTGGTCTCAGCTAATAGGCTGGATACAGACCTAACGCTAGGTTTTTCTTTTCTTTTTTTTCTTCTTTTTTTAGGCACAATCTGGCAAAGCAAGGGGCATTGAGGAATCAATTTTACTAGGGACAAATACCTCAAGGGGAGTTGTAACTGAAAAGTCTGAGGCTGGTCACCCCCTAGAGGAGCAGTATTATACAATTGTACTATGACAAATCTTTTTAAAGTAACTAAATGGTTTGATAGTTATCTATCAAAAAATAAATAAAAAAAAATCAAAAAGTTGCATCTTAAAAGGGGCATACCTGAAAAGGAACAAAATTAATAGTTCACATACCTCCGAAGGACAAGCATCAAGGAAAAATCCAACTACTGGTGAGAACTCATTGCCATTCCTACACAGGAAACATTCCATAAGATTGGGATGACTGAAACATGGAAAGCAAGTGAAGCCCAAAAAAAATGAATGCATTAACAAAATCCTCACAAAGGTACTACTAACGAAGATAACAAAATGTAAATAAAGTTTGCAATAATAATGAAGTTAGTCTTTTTAGGCAAGAGCAATTAATTTTATCCCACACTAACCTCCCATTACAAGTAACTATACACATCATACTTCTATTTTTTTTGATAAGTAAAATAAAAGAAGAATACAAATAGTTGGTGATAAGGCATCACCTGCTTACATCAAGAAGAAGAAGATGCCCAGATTCAATACAAACTTTCCAAATTACATATTTAAAAACCCAACACTTCCCCCAAGTCCTCCTTTTCACATTGACCGAATTCTGGAAACCATAACCCAATCAGCCACTGATTTGCTAACTGCAGCTACTATCCTGTCCAAATTACAGATTTTGCCATAAAAAACTCATATGTTCCTCTCTCCTTCCAAATATTCCAACAAATTGCGAAAGGAATGCAGCTCCAAACCACCTTTGCCTTCTTGCTACCTCTTAACTTTGGCCTAGAGGTGTAAAGTGGGCCGTGTTGTGCTGGCCTGCGGGCTGTTACAGGCTGTGCCGCCCTCCCCGGTGAATTTTGTGTATACAATTACATACTATATATTATTATATAATTATAATTTATATAATATTATATAAATATATATAAAATATAATATATATATATGGGCCGTGATGGGCCGACACGGCCCACTTGGTCGTGCTGGCCCGTGGACCTAAAACCCCAGGCCCGCATGATCATGCCGGGCCGGTCCAAGTTCGTGTCGGGTCGTGCCAGGCCGCGGGTGGCACGGCCTGATTTACACATCTACTTTGGCCATGAGGAAAAGATTTCTGAAGCTGAATTTGTAGGAAAATCAGATACTCCAAAGGGCCCAAACAAAGCTGTGAACAATCTCCATAGGAAACTAGCAATCTTGCATTCGAAAAATAAATGTTTACATATTTATCAAAAATAAATAAATGTTTACATTCTCCTCCTGATCTTTGCATAAACAGAACCTATTGACCATATGGAAGCCTCTTGGTTTCAAATGATCCACAGTCAAGACACTGTCCACAACCAGCCATGCAAAAGCTTCTACCCTTGGGAGTACCAGATTTCCCCACATGCCTTGTAATTGATCTGATTCTGAACTGCTTCTGCTGAGAGCTAAATAACAAGATTTCACAATGAATTTTCCATTTGAATATTCCTTCCACCACATTTAATCCCTCGTCTGAGAAGATATTTTAACATCCTCTAACTTCCCAAGAGAGAGATGCATCCGTCCACCTCTCTATCCAGCAAAGGCCTCCTGAATTTTGGGTTCCATGTCAACTGATCTCCCTTTCTTTCATAACAGCAGCTAATAGGAACTTCAGCCTCAGCTAGCCTGTATAATATTGGGCATGTCTCACTTAGCTTGCCAATCCCGCACCAAACATCCTCCCTAAACCTTAACTTTTGAGCCATCTCCTACTGAAAAACTTGTTAGATTTCTGAACTCCCTGTTAAAATTCATAATCCCTTTCCACACAGTCACCCAATAAGAAGACCTCACCACTCTAGATTCCCATCCAGACCTTACCACCCCATACTTCCCCACCACCACCCTCCTCCACAATGAATCTTCCTCTCTCCATAACCATTTTCCCATCAAGGCCCTATTAAAAACTCTTACTTTTCTAAGCCCAGCCCTCCCTTCTCCTTTGGTTTACAGACTTTGTCCCATTTCACCAAATGAAATTTCTTTCCCCCTCCCCCTCCACCCACACCCTCCCATAAAAAATTCCTCTGAACCTTCTCAATTCTTTCAGCCACTTGAGTTTGGATCCTCAGCAGACATATAGTATAAATTCGTAGACTTGAAAGTACACTTTTAATTAAAGTTATTCTCCCCCACCCACCAAGTGAAAGATAGTTTTCTTTCCACCCATCCAGTCTCTTTTAAACCCTCTCCAAAATTGGTTTCCACAATGCACCTGAATTTGAAGCCNTTGGTAAACCCAGGTAAGCAAAGGGAAGCTCACCAATTCATGAGCTGTGCATTTAATGTTGGACGAAGATGTAAAACTGTCCTTCAAATCTGATAATTAAACCTGATTACAGCAATAAAAGAAAAAGATGTGATTACAGCAGAAGGAAGAAGAAGAGAAAGGAGAAGAGAGTTTGATGGTTTTCTCCTCTCTCTCTCTCTTAATCTTTTATTAAAATCACTTAACTATGACTAATTACACCTCGGCCCTTAAGTGGGCAGCCAGCACTTAAATAACTTAAAGGAAACACAAAACAGGTTAACAGGCCCATAATGAAAAAAGGCCCATTAACACTTAAAATGTAAACACGATGCTACTTAAAACATAAACAAGTACTAGGGCCCATTCGTCCCAGCCTCTCTACAGACGATATGACAGAGGATTTTGGTGAATGACAAGAAAGATGAATGAAAAGATGAGGGTTTATTATTATAAGAGATTATTAAATGAGGACTGAGCTGTCTGCTATAATATGCCAACACAGGGGCCCTTAAGGCCCTAAGCCCCTAATATGCCAATCTGGTTGTATTTTTCTATATGATATAGGGGAGACACAAATTTGGGTTTGTATTGTCCTTGATATTCTTTTAATGCCACAAGGGATACTGTTATCAGTGCATATTGTGATCTTTACAAAGAATAAAGAAAAAAAAATTCCTTGGTATGATTCAGGTAACTGAAGTTAGAAGAACCTTTGACAAAGATGGAGATGAGAAATGTTTTAAGCGAGAAATACTTCCAATAGAGATCTGGAAGTGTACTGGATAAATTGGTATATCTTGGCTAACCAAGTCATTCAACAAGATCTTAAGCAACTGGTACGAACTGAGAAGTGTCGAGCTATATGTCAACTATATATATGTATATGCATATGTCAACTAATATAAAACAGAATAACAAATCAAGAAGAAAATAAGAAGAGGAAATAGAGAAAACACCAAGATTTAACGTGGTTCGGTTCGGTAGCCTACAGTCCATGGGAAGAGATGGAAAAATATCTACTATGAGAACCATAGATACATGGCTGACCTCTCTACAGATTCACAGCAAAATATCCACTCCCACTCTACCCCTAATCCCACACAACCAATGGCTTAAATAAGCAAAAGGCCAAATTATACCAGAATTTCACACAAGTCCCTCTTCATCACATAAATACATACAAGTCCCCAAAATTTATCAACATTACAAATATACACTTGTAACCTCCAAAAACCCAAATATAACTAAATACAATATATCTTTCGACACCCTCCCTCAAACTCAAGGTGGGGAAACCAACTTGAGTTTGCAAGAAAGATGTTGAAGTAACCTCCATGAAAATAGGTATAATTTTGAAGCAGCAACCATTAAACTTGATATGTTAAAGGGGCATCTTAGAAACCAAAGTTGGATGTTAGAAAGCTAAATGAACTCATGTCAAAAAGCCAAAGTAGAGCCAAGTCATGATCTAGTAATCACCAAATTGAAGTTGGCAAATGAAAGCCAACACATATCATGCCAAAGAATCAAATTTAGCCATCAAAAGGTTAATACAATCTCCGAACTAAAGAACCAACCATGTCAAACAACTACATCATTAGAAATGCCAATAGAATTACCAAAACAGAGTTGGCTAGCAAAAAGCCAACTATGCTGAACTCCATAAATGAGAGCAAAGGTCCAGAATTGATCAATGGAAAGCCAACTATGAACTCTATAAACCAAATTGAGGAATCGGAGTTGGCCAATCGGAAAGTCAACTAGATAAAGTGAATCAAAATCCCATGTCACCGAAGGAGATCAAAACTCCAAAGATTTCTTCATAACTCAGAACTGATGAGTATAATAAAAGATCATGGCTGAAACATTTCGTAAAACATCTTCCATGCAAAACATGTTTGATGTAAAAAACAAAATATAGGTCAATGATAATAAATCCATCATTCACCAAAATAGTCCAAATATCAAACCAAGACACAAACAATATCAGATTAGAACCGATCATAACAATGGAGAACCATTGTAGAAATTTGCACTATCGAGACATTTTGTCAAACACCAAATAGTCACCTTGAGCTCCAGTATCACATGTTGATATTGATAATCATAAATAGACCAAAGAAATTGCAGAACTTCTATAATACTTATTAAAAAAATAGCGCTCCCAAAGAAAACACCAATCTTGGCTAAATGACCAACAACCAACCTTTTAGACAATAAATCAAACAGTTGATAATGCAACATAGAAACCAGAATTTGCTTGAAGATATGAACAAGTTTAGATGCTAGAGAGCATAACCTACAAGACGAGGAGGGAAAATATAAATCCTTCTAGAGAGCCAACAAAAGAGAAATCCAAATAAAGCTTTAATAGTGTTAAAAATAAGGATCGGAAGATGCCCTAATATACGAACCAAATCAAATTTCCTTGCCCAAATGACCATTTTATCTTCTTTCTCATAGAAAAATGACCTGAACTCTAAAAGCTTAAGTCTAGATTCCACTAGGTATGAGAGAACCAAAAGAATATCCAAATCTGATATTACTTTTTCTTGGGTTTCGAAAGAAGCAACGAGAAGCAATATCATCCCTTTTGGAGTCTAGTAAAATTCTAGAAAAATGATGAAAAATACTCACAAGTATTCTTCATTGAATGGTAAAAGTCCCTAACAGATTGCTTCATAGATTCAAGCCCCACAGGCCTCGCGTGAACAGTAATGTGAATAGGGATCGTGAACAGTAACTCAATTGTTAGTTTTCCTTAGTTTACCAAACTAATTTCCACACTAAATCTGCTATGGTACCATATTGGCTAACATAAAACAGAACAACAAATCAAAAAGAAAATAAGAAGAGGAAATAGAGAAAACACCAAGATTTAATGTGGTTCGGCTTGGTAGCCTACATCCACGGGAAGAGAGGGAAAA